AACAAAGTAACTCTATTAATCGTGTACTCGTATTACTGTAAAGTCGATTCGATTGTCGAGATTCTCGTGTTTCCTGCTTTGAACGTACAATCTAGATTTTTGTATTCGTTGAGGAATATGGAATTGCCGCTTCAAAGGATCAGCAATAGCGAACGTGTGAATCGATTCGCATCTGTTGGAAGCATGTGAACATCGTAAATTCGGTCGATCGTTCATTTTTTTCTTTTCATTTTTATTAATGAAACGAAAGTATTTCGTGGAGAGTTAATTTTCTCGACGTAGTCTATATGCACAGTACAGTATGTAAAGGATAAGCGAGTTTACTTATAGCGTTAATCTGTCTTTCGTGAACAAAGAAGGAAAAATGGATAGTATATACGCATAATATGCACCAAGCCGCACAGAAAGGAATGCTCGCGCGTGTTCCAAACATAAACAAACCTCGAAGTCGCATATAATAACGTTAATGGAAGAATAACATAAAGAAGACTGCTCTCGCCAGCAAAAAGCATCATCTCCCTTCAAAGAAAATAGATAGTTAGAGACGTGGGGCGGCCTTGACAAGGACGAAGACAGGGATAAATGTTGCGGAAACCCTGATGTATACCTTTAACAAAACTTGTCGCAAGAAAAATTCACATTGTAGAAAATTGGAAGTTTGACTTTCTTTCCTACTTACAGTCAGATCGAAGAAGGAATTGTGTCGAAAGACCCCCCACAGCTCACTCCGATAAGGATAATTGTTAGACCACTCTATTGTCCATGTTTAAGGCCGACTCTGTATAGAAAACTCCAATTTACGCTACGCATTAAAAATACTTTCGTTCTTTATCCGTTATGATTTTTCTTTTTATGCGTATAAGTAGATCTTTTAAAAAGGAACAGAAGTTACTTTTAAATTTCGTACGAATCGAGTTTGTACGTACAGTGATTATTGTTTTCAACTAGAAAATTAGGTCTATTAATTCGCTTAAAAGCAGAGTAGACAGCGACTTTGATCTCGAACTGAGAAAAATTGTCATTTGAAAACGGAAATTGCTGTATTTATCTATCGTACGCAAATCCACATCCGAAGGATAGTAACGATGTATGGTATGAGGTTAGGAGTGGCTGCTCTAAAAGTTGCGAAGTCACGATGAGTTATTATTCTCCAATGGAAATATCTCAGGATATTATACACGTTCACTGTCCCCTAAGTTTTCTCCTCAACCTTTCACGCATTAAATCTACAGCTTTGACAGCGCTACATTTATTAACGATTGGGTAAAAAGAAGCGTCTAAGTCATCATGAGGTATATAATATATTATGATTATGAATTATTGAACATTGTATCAAATTTTATATTCACTTCTTGTGGTTGACAATAAACTGGTTTTATAAAAAAGATAGAGGCGTTTTGTACAAGTATGTTCAACATACGATTTTCGCACAATCGTATCGTGTAACATAAAATTACATATACATTCTTCTCGATTAAATTGTAAATTCGCTACAAGGTTCACTTTGGATAGCCCCAAGGATCTTTCTTTTGATCCATCAAGACAAGGGATGATTCGCAGATTTTCTTGAACACCTCGCGTAATCTACTCTTCTGGAACACCTTGAACAAAATTAAAGCATTGATTATACTATTACGCATATGTAACATTGGAACGTTTTAAAAAATCGTAAATAAATACTTTATAAAGTTGATATTGTTCGGAAGCGAGGATATCCGCTAATTGAATGCAGCCAGAATGTTCGTTCATTTCAGACATCACCGAATGAAGAAGAAGCGTAATTTTTGGAATACAAAGCTCCCGTAGTTTTTCCATCTGGTGTTCTCGCGATTCTTCGTCTAGTGTACGTGACTCGTCGTTATCATTATTTGAATCGACAAGCCAACCACCATCCGGAAACAACAGTACATTGAACAGTAGTTGTTTGACAGCCTACAAAAGAATTATTATTTTTTCAAATTTCTATTTTGTTCGACTATGTAACGAAGATTCTTTTTTAAATTTTTATTTCAGTTTTATGTAACGAACCTTCGTGTGGTGTTGCATCGTACATTTCCACCTTTCCATTTCTACGTTATACTGCGATTTCTTATGCTCATGTGCAACTTTCTCGGTAAAAGTGGCATACGGTGGTAATTCTTCTAAAGGTATAGGTTTTCCATGATGATAATGGGAAAACCATTCCGCGAAACCCTCTTGGGCATCGAGATAAGTTTTATAACAAAGATATTCTCGAATCGACGAGGATGCTCTTTTCGATAGATTGTCCGATATCGTGAGATTCGTTATAGTACCTTCCATTGTTGGATATTCAGCCATAACAGATTCGATAGAATCCTCTGGAATCTGACCATAAAATGAACACATGATAAAATCCTACTAAGAGTATAGAACAAAAAAATCATATTTCAACATTGCACCTTGTTAAAAGCTTTACGCGCGGCATCAATTTTTTCGTTGATTAAGAAAAATCTTATAAGAGCGTTAGTTTGCCACAATGCTTCTTCCCTTTGACTTGGATAAAATATTAACCAGTCTAACGCGTTAATCTTCTCCATGTCTGCGTCGGTTATAGCACCCTGTAAATCCGCCTGTACGATATCCAAGTTCTTAAACCGTATACTTTCTACCACTAATTTTGTGATCGCTTCCACGTTCAGATTCGCATCTTCTGCCGCAGTCAAGCATTTTTTGCGCTGCTCGTAATCTTTTATCATTTCTAGGTAGCTCGCGTAACTTGTTACTTGAGCCTCCTGAGGCAACATAGCTGTATAAAAAGCAATCAAAATCGGGTCGTCTATTTCGATTAGAATATTAACGTATGCCGATAGAACTTTATCTCCAACTTTGTCATTTACGTTTTTCCCAATTTGTCGGAAGAAAAATACTAAGTGAGCTAAAAATCGTAAAAAGTGAGGATCACAGGTCTTCCTGTCTATCATATTCTCTATTTCTTCCATCAATTCCGGTATTTGATCCAGAATCAAGTATTTCTGAATAAGATGATCAGGTTCGTTGGACTGTGCACGAGTAGTCGGATTTTTTGACGCGTGGAGTTCTTTGAACACGTCTTCCAGCGAAATTTCATTCTTCCAATAATCGTCAACCATATTCGTAAAAGTTTTTGTCGCTAGATCTCTCACCACTCTTTCGACTTTTATGTCCAACAGCGTTTTCATGTAAGCCCACAGCGCATCATGCCATGAAAACGCCACTTGTAACATTTGTTGGACATTTCCGCATAGGCTAGCGTACGTAGCGCGATAAAATTGACCTAAACGCAAGAAACAATTCCGATTATTAGAAACGGCAGTTATGCGAATAATAAAGAACTATTACCTATGCGTTTATCCTGAGAAAGATCCCACGCGCACAATTTCCAAAGACTTCTAGTAGGATTTCCCTCGATAGGTAATTTGGTATCAGATAACGGATTTTTATAATTAGGGTCATGATGAGGTATCCATCCTAACAAGCAAGCAGCTCTCCAAGGCTGTCCACAATTTTCAGCCAATGCTTGTGCCTTTTGGAGACGACCGCAACGTACCTATTTGATAGAATATATTTTATATTTTATATTTCATTCCCTTGTTTTATTTAATCTTTCAATCAAGAAATTTATACCTCTATAAACATTCTTTTTTCAAGTCTTGCATTATCTTCTCTGTCCAAGTCGTGTAAAGGTTTACCTTCTCTTATTGGAGCATCTGGATCAAGGGAGGACACAAATGGTCTAGACATATGAAAAGGAATTTGTTCTTTGTCTTTAATCGCAAGTTGTCGTACTGTATTCTCCCATGCAAGAGTTTTATCTGTAAAATGTTCGGCCGACGAATATCTATCTGCCTGATCCAATGCATTCTTTTCCAACCAATCTATTATTAATTGATATTCTCTGATATAACTTTCTGTTTTAAATAAGTTGTCTATTATGAGTTTTTCAGATATATAAGTATTATTTTCATCAAAATCATCCTCCATTGGAGTGGGAAAGTTAAGGCTATTTATTCGATTTTGATATAGACAATAAATAAGCCTCCATGTGTTCCTTTCGTTCTCCAATGAAATTTCTTCTTCCGACACTTCCTTGGATTCTACTTTTAATTGCATGCCTGTAAATCAAAGTTCACTATTACATGTCCTAATAGAAGTCTTATTTCAATTCATACCTCTCATTATATCTAACGTATCTGAACAGTTCTGTATAAAATCTGCAACAGTATCGAACACTTGTGTCTCTGAGAAGTTCATTTGAATACTATGTAAAAAGTCATAATACAGCTTAGACATGATCTCGCGCCAGGGTTCGTTTGCTTTCAAAATCATGCCAGTTGCTGCACTATCTTCCATCATTTCCCTTAAAGTAAGGTCATTCTTTTCCGAAGTAACCATTATATCACGTATTTCGTGGGGTGCAATCGTCAACGAATCGTCCATGTCCAGAACATCGTGAACTTTCATCGATTTTGAGCTCAGGTACGATTTGTTCAGCAGTCTTGGACTATTAATGTCATTCGGCTGACGGGAGTCATCCGAATCTTTTCGTACGTGAATGCTATTTTGCAAAGATATCCTCTTCGGAGTTGTGCTTTTTCCACTTAACCTCAAAAATGACTTTCGTTGAACATTCTCTTGATTATGCATTTGCATAGATCGTTCCAAATTTTCCGTAGTATCGTGTATTTTATCCATTGTTGAACTATTGATTAAAAATCATCAGCGTTAATCGATGCTATTATTTTTCCTCATTTGTTTTATACAACTGTATCCCATGTATCCGACGAACAATAATTTGATAATCGTGCCGGTTTTCGAATGACACAGTGTTACCAATGGCACAAAATTTTCCCAGAAAATAAATTACCTAAGTAAACATTTGGGATATTCCGGAGTTTTGTCGTGCAAACTTGCATATCGCAGCTCGTGCTGCTCCCACTACTTTGCTAAGCGGTACAGTACATACGTTATAATATTGACATTTGTAAATTTTCTGTGTCTGGCATACTCTGCTATCTGGGACTACCTTGGTCTTGGTCCATCCTGATCGTAAGGTTGTGTTCGTGCCAGTTGCAGCCAGTTGGGTGGTTGCGAAGTAATTGAAAATGGCGACTCGTCTAATTAAAGTTAGTTCTGCATTGCGGACTTATACTAACAAAACTAGTCTCGTAAAGGTAAGAGGATTTTAACTTTACAATATGACTTTAGTTGTTGAAATATATTACGACAATTCCTTGAAATTTATATTCAAAACAAGATGTTCTTACCGAGACGACAAATCATCGACTCCATTTGCTCCTTACGTAATGAGAAAAAAATTTCTAAAACAATTGTAACAATAAGAAGTAAATAACGAATTACTGTTTAATTGATAACAAATGACATTTAATAAATGAAATTTGGTTATGTACATTAGAATACTTGTATCAAGATACCATAACCTCAACTTGTTCAGGTCACCTCATAATGTATTTTGCCAGTAAATACGAAAATTTGACAGTTACGTTTTATCTTTCTTAAGGTATTTCTTTGTTACTTGCATATAATTTATATCCTTAGACACAAAAGCAATGGCACTCTACAGCACCATCCATGAAAGAGATGCTTATCAATCAACCACCCACAAGGGTCACAACTTTAGATTGTGGTATGAGAGTTGCAAGTGAGGATAGCGGTGCTCCAACAGCCACAGTAGGGCTGTGGATTGATGCTGGCAGTCGCTTTGAAACAGACGAGACTAATGGAGTGGCACACTTTATGGAACACATGGCTTTCAAGGTAAATTATTTTTTAAAGATATACCTCTGTTAAAATGCTAGAAGTCTTAATTGAAATGACAATTATTAACAGGGAACTACTAAACGTTCACAAACTGATTTAGAATTAGAAATTGAAAACATGGGGGCTCATTTGAATGCTTATACAAGCAGAGAGCAAACAGTATTTTATGCTAAATGTTTAGCACAAGATGTACCGAAAGCTGTAGAAATTTTGAGCGACATCATACAGAATTCAAAGCTTGGCGAAGCCGAAATTGAGAGAGAACGTGGTGTTATTTTAAGAGAGATGCAGGAAGTTGAAACAAATCTCCAAGAGGTTGTATTTGATCACTTACATGCTAGTGCCTATCAAGGTACACCATTAGGAAGGACAATTCTTGGCCCTACTAAAAATATTAAAAGCATTACACGAAATGATCTTGTTGACTATGTAAAAACACACTATGGTCCACCTAGGTATGTAATTGTAAACTGTCAATTTTTATAAAATGTTCAACTTATGTCTATATTGTATTGAAATTCTTTTTCTTAGATTTGTTTTGGCTGGTGCTGGTGGTGTAGATCACAATACACTGGTAAGCTTAGCCGATAAACATTTTGGTAAAATGCAAGGACCAGTTTACGACGAGATTCCACCGTATTGGGAACCGTGTCGTTACACGGGTTCTGATATACGAGTTCGCGATGACACTATTCCTCTTGCACATGCTGCGATTGCTGTTCAAGGTAGGAAAAAAGTTAAGTCAAACATAACTTTTATAGAACGATATTCAGCATTTAATAGATATTTTTTAAAGGTGCTGGGTGGGCAGATGCAGACAATATTCCCCTTATGGTTGCAAATACTCTCGTGGGAGCATGGGATCGTAGCCAAGGAGGAGGTGCAAATAACTCAAACCGCTTAAATGAAAATCGTTACGTTCGTGAAATGTGTCATAGTTACCAAAGCTTTAATACTTGTTACAAAGTATGTATTATCATACAAATGTTCCATTTTAAAGTGTATAGTAACTATACTTTTTTTTTACAGGACACAGGTCTTTGGGGTATATACTTCGTATGCGATCCTATGGGATGCGAAAACTTTGTTACTAGGTTGACTCGGGAATGGAAAAGGTTATGTGTATCAGTTACAGAGAAGGAAGTTGAGCGCGCGAAGAATATTCTTAAAACAAATATGCTCCTCCAGTTGGACGGAACAACTGCAATTTGCGAAGATATTGGTCGACAGATTCTCTGTTATAATCGGCGTATACCACTTCATGAACTCGAGGCCAGGATAGATGTAAGTATAACTTATATATAAAATATTTTACATACAATTTATGTATTAATAAAATTGCTTGCAGAGTGTAACTGCCAAAAATATTCATGATATTGGGATGAAATATATTTACGATCAGTGTCCAGTAATTGCAGCAGTTGGGCCAATCGAAAACTTGCCTGATTATACCATAACTCGTTCCAAAATGTACAGCTTGTTCATGTAAAAGCATTTCCCAACACAAATTTAGAACGAGTCGCCAGTAACATCATTTTTAGTAAAAAATTAGGATTAAAGTAAGATTGCAAATATTTAATTCATTTTTCGTAAATATTAATTGTTCAGATTTATTCATATTTATTATTCAAATTGCGATATGTAAGACAAGTCTATGTATATTCCAATAATAATTTGTAGTCTCACTTTAATACTTGTTAATACTTATATTTAAGTGAAATAATAATTTATCAATTGGTTATACCTAAATCATTGATGTTTACGAAATTGTAACAGGTATTGATGAAATTAATAATAAATCATGTGTGTACTCTTCCACACATCACATGCTATTTTATTTCTGTTACACTTTATGTACGTATGTATGTACACTTACATATTACTATGAAATAATTTCATAAATAATGTTACCTAATTATACAATTTGATTACGAATATAGATAGGAATTAATGTTGAAGTATGTTGATCACTGTGTTTCTACAAAAAATAGTATTTAGCACATAAATCATAAATGCATAATTTACTATTACTTATCATAATTAATTACAAAGACATATACTTAAATTAATAATTTTGTATTCCACATAGAAGGATTACTTTTAATGCAATGGTGGAATTGCGTTATTATTATAGTAATAAGATCATAAATTTGAGCGCTATACATAATAAAGCTTTCGATAAGATTCTTCCCCGAGGTACTAAATGCTAATAAAAATAGTTATAAAAATCATAGAAATATTAATATTTTTTAGCATCCTAATAATAAACAATTTTGTCATAACTTTTTTGTACTTGTACTTATATTAAAAGAAACTCACTTTTATAGTTTGATTACCATAATTATGCAATTAATAAGTTTCATGACTACCTAGCATTACTTTGCGGTGCTGTGGTCAATGTTGGTGATGCAGTATCTTTACAAACTTTAGCAGTCATTTCAGCCAATGGTTCTAATTCTTTTGTGCTTATTAATTCAAATTCTGTTACAAAATAGTAAAAATGTTTGTAACATGTATTTACGTGCGCTTCCTGAAACAAGCAAAATAAATATGAATACTATGATAAGAAATATTAATATACAAAGATATGAAACTTACTGCTCCTATTGCTACAATACGGTCAAAATGATGTATATAGACATGAACAAAAACTCTAAATAAGCGTGTTAAGATTTTTCTACACAGCGGTACAAATGTTTTTGGAAATGGTACATCTGTAATAAAATTTGTCCATAATTAATTTATATCATAATTAATTTAACACATCTAAATGTGTTACCTGTTGACACTGGAAATATGTTTTCATTATTTATTTGTGCTTCAATCCAATCCATCAGAAGACTAACATATTGTGGTGCTGGTAATGCTGTTGGCTTTTTATATTTTTCACCATCTGCCCATAAATATTCAAAACGAGCTCCACCACTCATAGTTGGACAGGATGCGGAATCACAATATTCAGAAACAGTGCCATATATTAGGTTTATTCTATTAAAAAAGTCTACAACTGAAATTATATTGTGTGTGAAAATGATAACTCAAAGGATTAAAATATAAAAATTTCTTAACATAAACTTTTAAGTACCATGAACAGCAATCCAGTCATTAAGATCCTCTCCAGGAGGCAGTTTCACGGCAGACCTTAAATTAATTCCAGAATTAAGGGAAGCCTGTGCTTGTTTATACAAGGAATATCGTAATGTTCCGTGAGTAAACTTCTTCTTTGGTCTAAATGTCTATATCGAATTAAAAAAATTTAAATCAGAAGTGCGTAATAAAAACATTGAAGGCATATACACGTATAACAGCTTTATATAAAAGAATAAGTATAGTTATAACACGAGGTGTTTTTATATAAAATTCATCGATAAAACTATATATTAGGTTAGAGTATTTGTTGTAACGTGAACAAATACCGTAACGACAGAGAAAAATATTCACCTTTCCTTTCTGAAAGAATTCCATGAAACCACTCAACGCAGTCATTGCGGTTACAATTATACAGAAACAGTAATTATTAAACAAATACCGAGCTAACCGGTAGTGCAAATTTATTTCGTGCTATGTCCATGTGAGTACTACGAATCGAAATTTTGTATCACCCATGTATAACTACTAGATCTTCCCATTTTACAATTGCTTACGAGTTCTTTAATTGCATTCAATTTCAATTAGTATACTAACTTTCTGCAAATAATTCAATTACTTTAAAAAAGGCTATGAGAAGGACAGAACTGCCCACCAATTTGCCCTCTTTCTCAGCAGGAGAAATTTGGAACTTCCAACCAGTGATGCCAGTCGGGTCGGGCGTTAACAGTGTCGTATCAACGGTAACAAAGGGGGGCTGTGGCTATTGTCGTGGCTATGAGCACAAAATCATGAATATTTGTATATTGTCTATACTTTTATATTGTCTTTATATATTGTCCTATCTTTATCCTTAAATCATGAATATATTTGTAAAATTATGAAAGGGTAATTAAGATACCTTTTAAGATGCCCGGCTGTCATCACTGCCCATAGCCTAAGTTTATTATAAGAGTAGTTCCCGTTTTGCCGCCAGATTAACGACCAATTTTTAGTGAAAATAGTTTCCAGTGATCCAGCTAGATAGCGCCATTAACTAAAGAGACGATAATTATTGCTGTTAACGTTTAAATATTATGTGAATATGGTATATTATAGTCTTAGAAAGCAAATAATCGTATTAATTATGCATTAATAACAAATAAATGTTAATATATTAAAATGTGTCGGTGGCGCCATCTAGCTGGATCATTGGAAACTATTTTCACTTAAAACTTGGGCGGTTTCCCACCGATGGCGTCACTAGTGTACCAGATCACTCGCCATCTGGCGGCAAAAGTGAGAACTATTTTTATCGCGCGATACTATTTTCGTGTCCATGAAACACATTACCAAAGAGTATTAGATCTTTTGCGCATTACATTCACGTATACTATCTCTGAACTATACTAAAGTATAGAATAAACGATGCCGTGAAACTAATTTTGCTTAATAACGATTATTGATAAAATGATTTTAATAGAGGGATATTTAAGGCACTGAGAAGTTAAACAGTAGCATCTAAATAAAGCTGTAATTGTAGAAGATATCGACGATCTTTTATTCACGTATCAAATGTATGTACGTGGCTGTATGGTACACAAGGTTTAATATAACAATGACTGTACGTGAATATCTTTAATAAAAATAATCGTACATTTAAATTAGAAAAAATATTTCGAATAAACTATATTTTTTACATAAATAGTTTATTACATAGACAGGCACTTTAATGCACAAAAGTAAAAAAGTAAATGTTACCCCGGACACTATTATTATTCGCGTATTCCCCCGAAATAGATATAATATTTGTATAATAATACATCGTAATTGTGTTGTAATTTTGTGCAAATATATGTCTGTACATTACTACACAGGCATAATCAATTTAATCTTCTTACCCCAGTTTAATGTTTAATTATTATAGCAATTATACATTATAAATTCAAACAATATTTACGATTTTCAATTATAATAAACATTTTACTTTCAATTGCCATTAATATTTAATTAACATTCAATTTGAGATTTTTTTTTCATAAGCAAGGTTTAGATACTTACTACTTAAATGTTGTATGCTTTATATAATTGTTTGTTTCTTTATATAATCAGTACATACATGTAATGGATAGTTTTTCTGTTTATGTACGTTACAATTAGTAAAATTACTTTATCTATAAATGTACATTATATCTCTTCTCTACCTCAAGCATAGAGGTAATATGTTTACAGTTTTAAAGCAAAACAAAAATGATCACTCATTGTCGGTGTATTATAAATCTGTTACAACAGTCAATACTCAGACAGATGGAATGATTCCTCATGGTAGTACAATATTTCGGAATTGATTTTCACTGAATTAAAAAAACTGAATACTATTATATCCCATAGCCAGCCACCATTGTCAATTAGTCAATAGTAGTAATGTCACGTACAATTTAAAAAAAAAAAAAACATTTTTAACATTAATAATTTATAAGCAAGGTAGTCTTTTCGTGTCCAGCACAGAGATATCTTGCAAATCGTGGATCAAATTATACATTGATGCCATTAAATGCATCACAGTCTTAATGACAAACTCAAAATCTGCTTTAACTATATAACTATACAAAAGTTAGGTTAATGTTATTTATCGGTTTTAGTTCAAAATTCTAAGTAAGAAAGACCATGTATGTAGAAGCAAAGTGCTTTAATACACACATGGAACTATTGCAATTATTTATTCTGTATAGTCATTTAGAGCTGTATATCTTCTAGGACTTTTTAAAAACGTACTTACTGTATAACCTCATTTGGTAAAGAAATAGTTCCCGATCATGTTTATAGAGATGAAAATGCCGTATCTCTTTCGATTAGTGTCCAGTGAAGAAGTTGTATTAATAATTACGTACATTAATTTATAGTTTATTGTGCGGTAATCATAGGTGCTTAGAACCTTCCGCTTTTTTTGTCGTTGGTGGAACACCAGGCGCTAATGGAGGATTTCTGACCGAATCAGAAGTGGTATTACTTTTAAGAACTGCAGCTGACTTTTCTCTTTTCTGTTCAGGTGAGCGTGGAGCATAATCTTCGTCTAATTCTTCTTTTCCGTAACCCTTTTCAGTCGTCACAGGTGTAGCAGGAACTGGAGATTTTGGGGAAACATATTTCGTTTCAGAATCATTTGCTTCAGTTGAATCATTTTGCAATGTTTTTTGCAATTGTTCATCCACTTCTAAAATTTCCTCCTTATCGATCAATTCAATCAATTCATGCACTTGATTTTTGCTGAGCTTAATATCTTCTTTTCCAATCAATTCCACTACCTATAAAAAAAATCGTATACTTTATACCAATTTACATTTAAATGTATATTTTTTTATTCGTATCATGTATTGGATATTATGTATTACCTTCAGAACGTCTTCGATCTTTATAGAGCCGTCTCTATCGCCATCGATCTTTCCCAAGATTTCTGCTATGCGTTGCAATCGATGATCATCAGGAACACTTTGAATGCGTTTAATAGCTGTGATTAATTCGTCTATTTTAACCAACTCTTCCTTTTCTTTTGAAGAAACACATGTTTCTACATCAGCGCTTCCTGCTTTTTGTTTAACCTGTTTTTCAGATTCAAGTTGTTCTAAAACCGCGTCCATCTTTCCTATCATCTTGTTCACTTTCTTAAATAATCGTTTGGCGCCCTTAGACACTTTAATATCTTCTATATCCTCTTGACCTCTTGCAGCTGCTTTAATTTCATAGAGCTCTTTTAAATCTTCTTGATAGTCGGCCATCTCTTCTTTGAGCTCTTTTAACTCCTCCTTCTGCACAGACATCTTCTGATTGTCCTTTCCAATGGAATCTAAAGCCTGTTCCAATACTTTTACATCTGTATTCGTAATCTCATCAGTTTGAGTGCTTTGCACAGTGACTGATGGTTGTGGTTCGTTTTCTTTCTGTTCCAGCCGCTCCTCTTCAATTTTGCGTTCTTCCATTTTAATGATCTCAATATTCGTTTTGTGGTCTATTTTACCTTCCTTCTCTCCTATCGCACCTTGGGTACGTGCGACAACCGTATCAGGAAGAGCAGATATCGTAGCTTTCAATTTGTCTGACATGGGTATTGTTTCTGGGACCATAAGTGCTCGAGAAAGAAGCAATAACGACGGCGGAACCTTCTTATTTAAACTTAAATCTAACCATTGAGCCAACTGCTCCCTCAATTTACTTTCTGGCAAGCCATATGCTCGCATTCCGCGTGCTCTACAAGCTTGTTGTAATTCGCTTCTAGTAAGAGTGTCTATACCTTCTTTTTCGATTAGCTATAAAAATAGATGTAAATTATGGTACGATAGATTACGTTTATTGTCAGTAAAAAAAAAATTACCTTATCATCCGCTGAAAGACTTCTGAGCCTCATTCTAAGTAGAAATCGTAAAAAGTTTGTCGTTCCAAGTGTTTGCACATCCAACACTCTACATAATGCAACTAATTGTGGACGAGAAAGAGAATCTAATGTGATTTCATCCTCGAAAAGTTTACTAAATTGCATGATTTCATCGTTTGTGGCTGTAGCACCGGACGTTCGTACTTTATAGAAAAATTCTGCAAACTCTTTAGCCTTTTTTGATTTATAATCCGACGATTGTACTGCCATATCATCCAATGTTTTTTGTAGAAACTTAGCCATTTCGATTTTAATCTGAAATAAAAAAGTCGAATATACAAATTCAATAAAAATTATCGTAATATTAAAAACATTATAAAGTCACGAATTCGTACCTTCAGCGCTTGCTTTAATTTATCTTCTTTTTCTGTTGCTGTTTGGAAAGTAGATGGTAGTAAACCAGGGAAAAGTTTAATAGCAAGTGGTAGTAAGAATTCCATAAAGGGTACGATAATAAAAACAGAAAACGGAATAAGCCTGAACAAATCGCCAGTTGTTTTTATAAGCTATTTAAAATACAATTCAAAAAGTCAAACAGATATTATTTGATAACATGGATAATAAATACACAACATTATTTATAACTTACCAGTCTGTGTTCTCTTCGACTAAGTTCTTTACCTTGCAAAATTCTCCAAACTAGTTTTGCAGAGATTTTCATATCAAGACCCAGTAATCTGAATCCATGATAATAATGTATTATTTCCCCTTTCACTTTTTGCCATAAGGTAGGTTTTTCTGCCAATGCTTTTTGAGTACTGTGTACAACACTTGTTTCTGTTTTGTCTTTTTGTTCCTTTTGTTCCTTGATATTCTTCACAGTATCTTCTACCTTTGAGGATGATTCTTGGCTTTTCCATGTTGGTGTTATATAAATTGTACGGAGTTGTAAGTATGGTGAATTAATACTATTGCAGTTTTCCGTTATAGTAGAGCTTATAAATAATCTACTACTTCTTGAATCCCTTTTACCCATACAAATAAGTGCCGAGGATCCATTTATTTGATTGATATTATGCCACAATTTGAAACAGCAGTATTCTGAAATAAATGAATCTTGTCAAATTTTGTAAATTATATCTTCAATATAAAATGTAATTATATACACTTCTCTTTATCATTTCTTTAAATGTAACAAGCATTGTTGTATTATTCAAACATAAATCTTAAATGAAAACTATTATATCATTAGCAAAAAATTGATTGTAGATATATCAATATTATTATTCACAACAGTAAAAATAGCATTTCATTAGAAATACCGCTACACTGCGAAACCACGAACCGCATTATTATTAATACCTATTTCATAACATAACCTACTACTAAATTCATTTTGTAAATCGTAATATTAAAGAAAGAAAATGATAAAGTAAAGTGTAAAAATGTTGTTAATCTGTCACAGATATTAATAACTCTATCTATAAATTCACCTGTTATATAAATATAACGTGTACAATATCTATAAATCACGCGTTCGAAATAATATTACAATTCTAATTTGTTATCAATCGGAATTAATTGTACATACGTCGAATTGCTCTGCCCTGGCTAATTGCCAATGTTTTTCTGTGAATTAAAGTGTTCATCTCGTATTAGTTTTCTTTTTGTAGTTTTTGTACTTCTTCGGAGCCGTGTTTCTGTGCAAATATGTGGTAAAATACGGCCATTACACATTTTCCATTTCTGCCTTGAACATAGCGATGAGAGATCAAAGATCACATGTAATCACTTGTAGGTGTAGGTATCTGTTCGTAAGCTGGTTTTAATATTACTAGCGCGACTTAATGTTTGTTCATTTACTTCTATTTATTTGCGCACATTCTTATCGATATATCTCACAGTTAAATACAACTCTTAATTTAATTAGAAGTCGCAGGCTCATCAATTTTAATGTGTTATCGACGATTTAAAAAAAATATACGTAGCAGTACTGCTACGTTAATCTTATTATTCATGTTGTTTTTTTATTGTTCGTTAAAAAGTCACCAAGCTCTGCCACCAATCAAGACTCCTTCTTCTTTGGCGAAGCGTCTTGATTCGTACCCAGATAGAGACTTTCTCCCTAGGGAAGAACAAATTCTTCGGGTATTCTTTCATACAAATCTCTTTATAAACGTATTTATATATTAACAATCTGCCAAAGACATTTGTCCTTTCTATTCAAAACAAATTCGTTCATTGACCTCTAAACGACCTCTAGAAATTGATCGACTTTTGGGTTATTACTAAGAGTGGTTGATAACGATCTGTTTGAAAATGATCAACACATTTTACGAACACGAACGCAGTGGAAGATTAATTTCAGAACACACTGGAAATCTTGTGCAAGAGCTGACCGTCTGCCAATATGGAACCGAAAGGAGGAGGGGTACTGAAGTTTTAGTAGCCGCCATGTTTTTCTCTGAGTGGGGTGTGTAGAAGAGGCCGGGGTGAAAATCATCTCTCGAGGCATGCAGGTACGTCAGAATTCGAACATTTTAGTTTATCGTCGTGATAGAAATGAGTATTGTGATTGTCGTGAGTTGACAGTGCCGTAGCGTATGAAAATGAGTTTGTTTTTGTTTCGTAACGTCACGCAGTCCGCCGTTCTTGACGCGAGAACTATGACTCAGGCGAAACGCATAGCGCAATCGACAAGGTTATTTGCATTGCTCGAGTAATGTCTCTGCCAACAATCCATATAGACTTCGTGTTGGAGCGTTATGCGTACGAATTGCAGTTTGTTTTCGTGTACCAGTTCAAGAGACATCTATCAAGTGGACGAGTCTGATTGACGATGCGTGCAAAACCCTGAAAATTCTTTCGCTTTTACGTTTGATCTCTTGCGCCCCCGTAATCTGGAGATAACCGTTTTTGACAACGTTTAAGAACGATTGTCGAACGGCTTCCGCCAATTTTTTGGCTCATTGTAATTTAGCAAATGCAACATAGCACAGTCGTTCTCAAAGTCACGACGTGGAATAATCGTTTTTAGATCCATGATTCGTGCAACGTGACTGAACAGCCTCCAACGTAAACGTACGTCTCTAACTACGTCTTATGTTTTGCGCAAAAAGTTTACGATTGAATAAAGTTTAAACGGACACACATTAATAGTTCCCGTTGCGAACGTTCAAAGATGTACGATTCAAAGATTTAATTAATTTTGTATTTCCGAAAAAACAAGTAGATCAATGTAAATTTGTATCATTTTTTTTTCCGTATGTAAATAAACATTGTTTCTGCTTACACTTATGGAGCCTTGTTTTATGATGTTTAATGTGACATAGATGTTTATATTTTGTGTTGTTTTGCATTGTTTACCAGCTGACTAATTTACCAAAAATGTCTACAATTCGTTTTCCTCTGAATTTTTTGTTGCATGTGGTACATGTACTTGAGAATACTTACAGTTATCATAGGAGGCTAAATAAACTCAATCGTAAAAGCGATAGGTATCGGTCTAGCCTTGTATCGTATATATTCTTTTTGTATATTCTTTCATTCAGCATGGTATTCACGTTGTTAATGTATCAGCACTAATATTTATTTAGAATTAGATAATACTAAGGTGAAAGTTTCGTATGGTTAATAGCTAGTAATGCTTACATAAGAAATGTATTAATGATTTTCTGTAGATTTAAGTTTACACAAAATAAAAGAAAGTATTGAAAAGAAAATCATATGCAGTTATTTATTTATTTAGTTATAATGAATATGCTTTATATATTACAAATACTTGTAAGAATAATCAAAGAATTATGAAATTTCAGTGTCAAAATGGGAAGGAAACAAACTATACCTGTTATCCTTCGCTAAGACCTGCCGCCTCATTTACACAAAATATCCACCACCTGTGCACAAGAACTAAGTAATTTTTAATCAACGTAACTGAAACTACAAGAAGTATTACTACTGATTGTGGGTAACGTAACTAAAACTGAGAAATTACAAGTAACAAAGAGAAGCAACAGAACATTTATCAAGCTAATAAATGTTAAGGTGGTGGATTGAGTAAAATTGAAACATTAAAAGGACAATAATATAATACCGTAACTCTATTGTAAATAGGTAACTTGATTTACACTATTTGTTCAACGATTAATTAATGAAATGTTGTGTAGCGTATTAAGATTTCTATAACTTTTAAGGAGAGAAGATGATCACCCTGGAGGTAGCAGAGTCTGTAAAAGTTCTTGGGTCTTGGGGGAACTTTATTAAAAGGAAATGAGGAATCCGGCGTTACACCTGGTTGGGATAGCGGCATCCCCTGGAGGAGGCGAAGTGTTTGATACAAGGGCCGAGGAGGAGTTGCGCCAGTGGCTGGAAGCACGCTTGGACGCATTGGGAATAGACCCAGTTGCGTACTCGCGATTTGTGCTTAGCCTACTGCGTCGCCCCAACTCGGCCCTCAGTCCTCCAGAAGAAGCAATAGGTACAGGTAGAAGTGGAGGACGTCGCATTCGTGCTCGTCCTAAAGCTAAGCTACCAACACAAGGAGACCGAGTACAGAGACGTGCTGTTGTGCAATGTCTGACGAGTGCTGCCGATAACGTGAGCTACTTTACTTATTTTCATCTTGTTCCATGAATATTTACATACATTTGAATCTTACCGATAATAATATGTGTATTATTTTCGTTACATAGAAATGTGGGGTGGAAACGCTAGTCGATGAATTATGTATGAAATTGCGGGACTTGGAAGGAGGTGGCTCAGACGAGAAAGAGGAAGTATCCGCAAAGTCTGATTGTGAAAATAAAACAAACTTAGAGTTGCTTACACCACGTGACAGAGCTCTCAGATACTACGCGGCTTTTCCTGCTTTGCAACCTACGCCCCTTAAAAAGGTTTCTCAGAGAAAGGATAAAAACTTTGGAAATAATAATAATAATAATAATAACAACAACAACAATAATAACAACAACAACAAAATCAACGGAGTCAAGTATAATAATAACAAGAACAACAATAAATCTCGCAATAAGAAGACTAAAATGTCCATTGTGAGTGTTGCGTAAAATCTATTTTAGTGTTACATACTTCGGCGGATGAATCTCTGCTTATGGCTTTATCTTATATTTTCAGAGTATTGACTCGCGCAGATTAGAAGACAAAGAAAGTTTTGGATTTGCTAAATCAATGGAGCTTGAAAGAGAAAAAGAACGAGAATTAGAATTAGATCAACTCAGATTGGCACAGTTGCAAGCAAAGTTTGACGAGAGCTTAGAAGCACTTTGGGATTCAGGACCAGGCAATGCACAGGACACGGCTTCTATTTGGGCAGCTCCTACTCTTTCTATTCCTTCAGGACCTCTTTGGCCGACAGACACTACCGAGACAATCTTTACTTTATCCACCTCGGACAATGGTTATGCTACTGACACACCGTACCAAGAATCTATCGTTGACGACTCGCCGCTTATTCCATGGGACATTGATTTAATCAGTATCGAAGATTATGCGGATGAATGTAATAACAAAAATAAATCAGGTCAGTATTTAAACATTATATTTAATTTATGAGTATCACGATATAGTAATATTGACTTAAGTATATCTAACGGATAGGAGACCGTTCTGAAATGTAAGTAAACGAATGTGCATAAAGTTAGATGTAGATTGTTATGGTATCTGTGTCGTGCTACAATGTGTCTTTTATTATTATTTTTATCTATTACCATTTGTGTAAGTTAGTCGACGTATCGTACAATCGAATATAAACAAATTGAAAAAATTTACCGTTACAGAGAGCAACGTTAACTGGTCTGATTCCGCAATGGATGGATCTTGGTGCTGGAAAGGGCTTGGCAGTAACTTAGCCGCCTTGGGTCACAGTCCTCAGACGGGCAGTTGCTTCTTTCCAGTTGCACCGCGTAAGACACCCATTGGAACACGCAAGGAATCTCATTCAAATCTGAAGGTGAACAGCCTTCCAGAACCTGACGAGGATTTGCTTACTTCCGCTCGCACACACTTTCGTCCGATAAAGGATGACGGTCAGTGGGCCGATGGAACTACGTTCCCTGTGAACAATACTTTAGAGCGGGTTGCGTATCGTAGATCCGAGTCAGGGAACTTGTTATACCTTCCTGGTGGAGAGAGTCCATACATGGAATATCGAGAGAACGACTCGCCGATTCCTCCAGTGTCTTCGAATTTAACGTTGAAATTTAGGGTGCGTCAATGTGACAAGTGCGTTCAAACCGAGCCCATTCGATCTCCGGTCAAACGCAGAATTCTCTCCGAACAGGATCAATTTCATTATACTCCGGTCGGAGAGGAAGATACAGTTATTCGCGAAGAGGAGAAAATCGAGAAAGATTGCTATGCATTGGGTCAACTGGGCTGGGTACGATCTAACGTACCTCTGCACAATGATAGGAAGAGGTAATACATGTCACTAAGAGAATTCACATTACACGTCGAGCGCTTTATATTTTTGTCACTTTTTGTATACGCTCGTTGCACTTTTTTCACCCACTTTCGAATAATATCAAGTATGCATTACGTTACATTACATTATCTTACGTTATTGCGCGGTATGTGGATAACGTTACGTTGCTCCTTTAACAATTTTCAAAGCATTTCTTGTTTGTTCGGAGGTACGGACGTACTACTATTACATGGAAAACCATTGAACCCGTAACGGAAGCAAAATTTATGTTATTTAATAATACGTAAAATGTTTGTGCTAAAAATTTCGTAACAATAATTTTTCGTTGGTTGATCGTTGTATAATTTGCGCAGGCATCGGTGCATGTATATATGTATGCATGTGTCATACATATATGTATACGTATGCGTTATCGATTACATAGTATGTAACGTTATATTATAAAATTAAAATGTTATCCTGGAAAATATTAGAAGCAATTTATGTTGGTAGATCGAGAGTATCGCGTGCTATCGATTGGCTATTAACACTGAGCGCACGATTTAGCATAGCTTATAGTGTATGATCTGAGTACTTAGATACACCGTTACATTCAATATCTAACGTTACATGTTTAATGTGTTTTTTTGCGATAGAAGGCACAGTAGCAGCTTCGGATGCCAGCCTCTGACGACTTTGCGTCCGTTGACCTTATGAACTGGATAAATACGAGCTGCTAAAATGCTCTAATGATTCAAGATCCGAGGTTTAGCTACACGTTTCTTTTCCAAGACGAAGACGCAAACCGTTAATGAACACGACAGAAAGGGGGGGGCCTCTTGGCATGTGGAATTTGTTATGCATGTATCCAAGACGGTGCCGTTAATAATAATAGTAATAATAATAGTAATAATAATAAAAAAAAAAATATCCCCCGTTGTCGTTAAACAAAGAAGTAAAACAAAAAATGCGAAGCGAGATGAAAGGAATATTATATGTTCATTTAGATAATTATTATTAACCCTTTGACAAGTAAAGCAAAAAAGAAATGGAACAAAGTAAAAAAAAAAGTATATGTTACGCAGCATTCAATGATGTGCGCGTGTGCACGCACGCGCGACTGAAAGGGAGAAGATAAAAAAAAAATATATTGAGAACGTAGTCCACGAGATTTCGTTTGTAGCTTGTTAATAATTTTACGCGAACTTTCGAGAAGAAGAGAGAACAAACACCAAAAAAAAAAAAAATTAGTGCGCTGATTTTCTATAGAGATAGTAGTAAGCAGAGTTATCCTTTTTTCTGTTTCTCATCCGATGTGCAGGCATTTCGTGTGCGCTTCATTGGATGACGTATTGCAAACAACGAGAGAAAAGAGATAGATAGATAGATGTACATATATAGAGAGGGCGGGGGGGTGGGCGGGGGGGGGGGGGAGTATGGAATAAAAAAAAGATAACCATGAAAAAGTGCCCTAAAAAAAAAAAAAAAAGACAGAATTACACTGAAAATCGAGAGAGAGCGAGAGGGGGGGGGGTAATTTCGAAGACGGAGTACTTATATAAACGAATAAAATGGGAAAATCAATCATAAAGTGGCGCACGACAATTACACCACGAAATCATCGTCGAAATAATGTTCTATTTTCTTGTTGTTTTCTTTTCGTAATTATTAATGGATTATCTTAATTGTATCTCCCTAACTATAATTTAACTTCCTAGAAGAATAATACCCTAATTCCCCCTTCCACCTATCATCGAATCCCATGTTTCGAACATACCCCAGTATCCAATGCTTTTCCTGTGCTCCCTCGGAGGAAATATATCGGATAACTAAGAACGTACATGTGGGTAAACGAGGAAGAAAAATGAAATAACGTGTATGGTGGGACGCACGCCTACCCTCGGTGCGAAGGTACGGCGAAGCCGTATAAGAAACGTTATTCGAGAGTTGAATGCCTTTTAAACAAGAGAAACGTATAAATATATAAGAAACAAGGGTTGAAGTAACGCGGAAACATGACGCGAAAAGGGTTACTCGCGATAACGAACGAAATGTTTCGTATGAAAAGTGTGCGATGCGATGAGAAAGATGGAATAAAGAAAAAAAAAAAAAGAATCTAAACATGTATTCTCTGAGCGAATCAATGTACGCAAAGGGAGTAATCAAATAAAGGCATTGCAAACGCTGATGTTGCATATTATGGTATTTACTCTTGTTGTATCCAATCCATTTTTTTCTTCTCCTTAAAAAAGAAACATGTACTCCGATTCGGGGCTTCTTGTTTGGTTGCGTCAGAAGTTATTAGTTCTCTCGTATAAATTCGTTTCTCTTTTTTTTTTAAAGTAATTAAAAAGTAGTAGCGAACAATCGTTGCCAATCGAGGGAACTTAGAATTAGAACCTCGCTCTGAACTGACTAGTTTGAAAACCGTGCGTGGGAGCCGGTTTCAAGTTGAACCTGAGCGGTTTCACCTTGGTAAATTTACTTTTCTTTGGGCTGTTGCGAGCGATGTTGGTGTTCTTCGCGCGGTGCCGATAGTACCAATATTCGAAGGCCAACGTAAAGCAAGCGAAAATGATGCCGAGAAATATAACGACGAACACACCACCGATGTTGTAGATACTTATGCCGTCGCTTTGGCTGTTCTCCGTGTCGCAATTTTTTCTGTCGGGATTCTTCTTCCACCATTTATGCTTCAGTTTCTCCAATTTCCTTTTGTTCAGCAGAATCAGAATTCTGAAAAAGAAAAGAAACGAATAAAAGTGTCGGATAAGGAACTGCGAAAAAGGTAGAGCATCTACGCACGCGTTGTTAAACTGATCCTTCAACGGTGATCCTTGTTGAACCGCGATCGCGTATGGTTTCCTCGAGAAATCCTCTCCCACTTGAACGAAATCGCAGTTTGTCATGGTAAGATATTTGATAGTCGTCGAATCCTCTATATAGGCGAACTCGTTGTTCGAGTCAAGCCGGCGAACTCGACGCAGAGCCTCCTCGGTCGTGGCCGGAAAGCCGGCTTCCAACATTGCTTGGAACATTTTCGAGTATTTGTCGCTGACGGGGTAGTCCCATACCGCTAGCTTAACCCTCTCGACTTCCGTCAAGCTGTCGTTAAGGCTCATTTGCTTCCAGATACTACGATGCGCATTGTCTTCAGATTTAATATCGTTTAAGTAGCGATTTGAACTTTGCTTTACTTACTTAAAAAATGTCTGCTCGATCGCGGCCATCCTCTCGAAGTAAACGTAAGCGGGAGAATTCATTACAGGAGCGTACTGAATCTTGTACTGTTTGCTAAGGTCCTCCAAGGTCTCGATCGGTATTTCCAGCCTGGAGACGGTCAAAAACGCCGCGAGATTCGCAGTGTACGAAGCGATGATGATGAACCCGAACAGCCACCAAGTAGCGGCGACGAGTCTTCCGGAGAGGTTCTTCGGTGCTTCGCCTCCTCCCTGTGGCGTAAGGGAGGTCATGCAGAACCAGAAACACTCCCTTAAATTGAACTCCCTTTTCTCGTCGTCGTCCTTATATTTCTCCCGGTTGTTTTGATAACTATACGGCGACCAGCGGTCGAAGATCCATAACAGAACGCTGGTGAACAGGTAAGCGGCCAGTATGCAGAACCAGACTTCGTTCTCCAGAACGGTCAAGAACTTGAACAACGACGTCGACGTTTTCGTCTTCAGCATCATGATGGACAGACCCACCAGATCGTAATAAGGTACGGTGAAATCCACCACTTTTTCTCTTTCCGCCGTCACCCAAAGCGAGCTAAGCGCGATGTCCGCTCGTTGATCGATCAACTCCTTCATCATTCCGCTCCAAGTGCCGTCTTCGAGTAGATTTCCATACTGCTTGTCGTCCGTTTCGCGAATCTCGTATTGGAACTCTACGATGTTTTTGATTTCGTTCAAAAGGTCGATGCAGAAACCGTAGTACTCGTTTTTTTCTTCGTTGTACATCACGAACGGGGGATGGATCACCGTGACCACTCTGTAGCTCTTCACCGCGGTGGCATTCATGATGTCTTTGTTCGTTACCTGTACAGATACAGAGGAAAACTGGGGACGTTATTCGACGTTTTCTGCAATCGCTAGATCTCTTGGAAATTTATTAATCAACAGGACGAAAATCGACGACAGAGTGCCGCGATCGAATAGAAAAGTCCAAGTATCGAATGACAAGGAAAGCACTCGGGGTGCTCGACGCGAAACTACAACCACGAATGCCAGGTCGCGTTTACGTGGCTATCGGCTTTCGTTTTATATATTGGGTAAACAAATAAAGTTGCATGCGCTATCTTCATCAGCGCCCGCGGTTATCAGCGATACGTGTAAATAAATGTAACGACCGCGTGTCAAGGATACAACCACGGTGGCGACTAACTCGCCAAGGTTCATGGTTAGAAAATCGTATTTTTTTTTTCTTTTTGCTGCAATTTCCCTCGCTGATATCGAATAGGAAGTAATTTTTGTTAAGTAATAACACGTTGAAAACGATAGTATCGCTGACAAGCGAAAAATAAACTCGTTAAATAAACGAACGCTGCAAAGGTCTCTTAAATATTCCGTATTTTTCAGCGAAGTTAAACAAATGGGACAGGGACCGTTTAAAATTTTCGACTTGCTCGCGTATTCCTTCCTACCGCTTTGTTAGCTATTTATGAAACGAATCTAGGTAAAAGATATTCCATTTCCAACGAACCCATTTTAAATAAGATCACGTTACGATAGTGACATTTGATGAAATAAAGTCTCATCCTCGCGTGACTAAAAGCTAGCATTTTTTCGCCGATCGATAGGTCGTCCTAATTTCGGTCGATAATGTCACGAGCACCCCCTATCAATTTGCTTCGTTGATTTGGTATGCTATCAATATTCAAGATTTTTACGCTCTACATTCGCCCAACGTAGACTACAGGAATATCGAATTGAAGATGAAAAAATACGAGTACTATCTAAGATTTCCTATCTATGTCGACATTACTTGCCTGTAAGGCCGCCGAGACGCTCGCGTTCCAGAATCCGCTGTCAACCATGGAGGAAGCAACCCCATCGGCGATAGTCACCAAGTGAATGGACATGTTGAATCGCGCTTGATGCTCGCCGTTTCTTTTTCCCCAACGAATTCCTGCGTACGTAGGCGTCATATCGCGGTAGGCAGCTTTCAGTTTGCCGAACAAGTCCAGTTTCCTCTTGGGAGTGTTCGTGTTGTTGTAGTCGTCGCAGGTGATGTGTCTCGGTTTCAACGGCCATTCGTTATTGTCCAAGGCTAACTTCATCGCCCTGACGCCTAACTGGACCAGGTCGTAATAGAAAGCAGACGAGACGAACGGCTTGGGCAGGATACTTTCCACCGACGGCGTCGACTTTGTTTGGTTCTTCGGTTCAGGCCTCATGAAAAGGACGGTGATGTTTCTGCACTCGCACTTGGGCCAGACGTTGCTCTCCGGTGTCAACAGAAACCAACCGTATTTTCTTCCGGTAAAATTGAGAGATTCCGCTGCCTCGAGAGCTACATTGATGGTGTTCTCGTCCCCCAGGATGAAATAGTTTACGATATCCAAGTGTCGTAAACTTTGCAACTGATTCTTCATCTCTGTCACCTGTTGCGAGGCCTCGTTGATCACGTGTCTCGTCGGAACGTTCAACAGCAAGCTCTTGTATTTGTGATCCATGACGAAATTGTGATCGTAGAGAATCGCCGCGTTCGTGATGTTCAGCTGAATCGCCAGCTGCCTGATCGCTTCCGGTATCAAGTCCGCCGGGGGCATCACTTGGATCAAGTATCCCGTCTGATCAGCGTTTAAGTTTCTCCAGTAGAGGAGGTCTCCCTTTTGGCCGTATTGCGCGGATAGCGTAGGGATTCCTAGAGCGGCTGCGAACGAATTCGATATTTTCGCCCCCATGCCGGCTGTTGTCGTGTCCACGATCAAATCAGGAACAGTCGTGGCTTTCCCTTCGACCGCGGACTCCCAAGAATTGCAGATGCGGTCCAAAGTGTCGTTTACGTCGGTCTCGTTCACCTGAACCATCCAGACTTTTCCCAAGTAACCCGAGTATTTATCCTTGATCGTTTTTAGAGCGGCCATTATGCTCTTGTTCGCCACTTTGTTGGTCTCGTCGTTCACGAAAACTGTATCGGAAATGCGTTTTGTCAATTTATGAAACGCGATCGATCCAGGGTTATGGTTTGTTTTTAAAAATATTGAAGTATTAATTTCAAAATGATCTTCATCATTTAACAAACAAGCACCCAGCCTTGACAGATGTCAGGAGTTATTTCGAAAGAAATTAGAGACTCTGTACGTAAAATGAAAAAGTAGAAATTCGTACGATGAGCTTCCTTGTGCATTTACTCACAAATGTTAACAGGTCTCGTTGCCGTCGACGATCCTCTGCCAGCTGCTGAGTCTTCCTGTCCTTGAACCGGAATCATCCCGCAGAATCCGAGGAAAGCGAACGCAAGAGTAGCGAGGCACGCGTATTTCATTTTCTGATAGATTTTCGGAGAACTAACTTTACGCTTCGCGGAACTTCCTTTGAAAGTTTCTTATCCGGTGGAGAGGCTCGAATACCCCAAATTACGGCTTGCTTTTCAGCGATAAGTGATGGTCGTGTGGTTAAATTCGTTTCGTTCGCTTGGACGTCGAGGGATATCGCGTGCGGAAATTGGTTAAGCAACTGAGGGTGGTCTCGAAACGCTGATCCAAGGGTGGTTCTGTTTTATTTGTGTTTGTCCATCGGTTGCCGCGGGGATGACCTAATCAATTGCTCGCACCAACGCACCTTGTCTCTTCCTTTTTCACCTTTTCGCGTTAGTAAAAATCGTCGATCGTCGATCGTTGGTGAGCTCGGGGTCGCGCCACGGAGCCTCTCGATGCGTACTCCACGACCGACGCGACCACAAACACCGCGACGTTTCTCCGCGTATTTGCATGTCACGCGTCGCGTGCTCGCAGATCCCGTTATCTGATAGAACTTGTACTTCGACGCGCCATCGATACCTTCGTGACTCGAGATCGCGTCGATGCGCGCCGTGCACCTTTTGACCGTGCTTTTCTTTCCTCAAAATCGTCGGGGCATTGTTCCAGCTTCCGATCGCTTCGTGAAAACGACAAGTGTTCGCTGAAGCAACTCTAAAAGCCATAATTAGAGCATCCGGAATGCGAATAGGTTAAAAATAACGAGTATACAAAATTCGACCATGGTACAAGCAAGACACGGTGTGCTCGATGAATCTCCGAGCAAATTTTATGTTGCCAGAGGTGCGAATTAACACTTCAAAGCGAAAGGTCGAAAGCTCGTTTTAAGATCGAAGTTCACGGCGAAAAATCGAACACTTTGAATCGACGCGACGTGATTTGCGATAGCGATTTAGCAAAACAAAGTAAACGTCCATTCGTTAGTAGCGAATCGAATTGAATATACATTTGATACGATCGGCGCCCTCTCGTGTATCTCTTGACTTTCTACGTAAGCTCTTTGTCGGTGGGATTTGTTTGATCGAGCGACTATCCTTTTCCTAATGGAATCATGTTTGAGTTGAATCTGTTCGGAGGATCTCAACGGATCCAGCCGCGATAAAAGATCTGAAAGGATCGATATCAATGATGAGTGTTTAACGTGAAATATACGTGAAATATCGCGCTTGTTTAACGGTGTTTAATACATATAAGCGAAGAGAACGCGTACGTTTTTCTCGTCGCTTATTAAATTCGCATTTGTTTTAATATTCTTCCCTATTATCGTTAAAAAAGAAAAATGTTTAATGATAGTTACCCGTGAAAATAGAAGAAACGCGAACCAGCTGTTACTTCCTTGATTTTCCTTCCATTTTCGATTTTTCATGGGTCGATAACATCCTCGCAAACAGACGGACTTTTTTATTTTGTCGTGGTCCATAGAAATGCCACAAGTACTCAAGGCACAATGTCAAAATCGCGAGCAATACGCCGACGAGAATTAGCAAGAACACAGCTGCTAAATCGTCGAGCCCGAATCCCGCGTTGAAGTCCTTATCGGCCGGGCAATTCGCCCTGATAGGGTTCTCGTCCCACCATTTTTTTTCCAAGTCGTTTAATTTTCTCTTCATCGCCAAATACGCGATCCTTTAAATAAACGTTAATCGACGCGTGTGAAAATTGCATTTTACTTTATCGGAGCCTCCAAAGAAAGGCACACAGTAGTCGCTACGTGCGAAATTCAATTACGTTCGAGAAACAATTCTCGCGGGATATCTGGTTCGACACTCACGCATCGTCAATTTTCTTCTTCAACGGGGAATCTTTCCGCACGGCGAAGGCGAACGGTTTCTTGCTGAATTCATAGCCGACCTGTCTGAAGTCGCAGCTCGTCAGCATCAGATATTTTATGGTCATAGCTTCCGCTATAAAAGCGAACTCGTAAGTGCGGTTTACATTCCGTACCATCTTCACGGCTTGCTCCACGCTAGGAACAAATCCCACTTCATCCATAGCGTAATACATCTTGGTGAACTTGTCTTCCAAGGGATAATCCCAAACGGCGTACTTGGATCTGTTCCACTCGGGTGTATTTTCATCTAGAGTCATTTGTCTCCACATCCTGTTCAAACAATTTTCACTCTTGTAAGCTTCGCTTCGATCGCGTGCATGCATGTAGATGCATTCATTTATGGATCACGAATATTCAACGGGTAGATTACGAGTGCGTGGACTTGTCGTCGGTTGCAAGTTAGGTCGGTATTAATAAGTAAGCAGAAACGACTCACTGGTAAAGCATGTCCTCCGCTTCTTTCATTCCATGGAAGTATCTGAACGTGGAAGAATTGGCCAAGGTGGAATAACGAACTCGATACTGTTTCGTGAGATCGTCCATGGAGTCGATGCTCCTCTCCAATCTTTCGAGCGTCTCGTCAGCCGCGAGATTGGCCGTGTACGCGGCGACGATGACGAAGCTGAAGAGCCACCAGATCGCCGCTGCCAGTTTCCCAGATAAATTTTTAGGGATGTCCCCTCCACCTTGGGGAGTGAGCGAGGCGAATGCGAACCACAAGCACTCTTTCAAGGAGGAGAATCGATCGTCCGGCTCGTTTCGATATTTCTGTCGATTGTTACGGTAGCTAAAGGGCGAGTACTTTTCCAAGATAAATAACAGAAGTATCGTTAAGAAGAAAGCGAACGCGAAACTCAGCCAGACTTCAATCTCCAGGATCATTAAGAAACGAAGGAACGGGATCTGCCTCTTTCTCTTTAGCATCATTATCGCGAAGCCGCTTGGTCCCTGATACGGGACGGTGAAGTCCACTACCTGAAAAATGCGCGGGTTCCATTGTTTCGCGAAAACTCGAGTGGGAAAGATTTTATTCGAATTGTAGAATTAGGTAACCCGAACGTTAAGGGCGGAATCGCTCTGTTTAAAGTTCAAGTAACGCCAAAGCGCTCGTATAATATTTAATTTAGCGTTCCGTTGTGTAATTAAGACGAAAATTAACAAAACTAATTTTCACTCGTTACTCGACAATCGATATTTTCACCTGCGCCCTGTCAGACGTGATCCATATCGGTCCCACAGCGATGTCTGATATATTCTTTATTAGTTCATCAACCATGCCGTTCCATCTGCCATTGCGCGGATCTCTGTGCCCGTAATGTTCATCGTACGCTTCTCTGATGGTGTAATCGAAACCCGCTAGCGATCCAATATCGTTTAGTAGATCGATGCAATATCCGTAAAAACTGCCAGTCGTGGTATTGTACATGACGTACGGTGGAGCGATTCCCGTTACCGCTCGATATACCGTACCCATTCCACTGCTCATTTTTTATTTTTATGCATTCCTTCTCAGTTGTGTAATTTTACGAAAAGAAAGAACACCGTGGAGCTGTTCCAAAGTAATCATTGTCTACCATGTAATAGAAATAATATTTCAGTTGTCATATATAATTGTTTAAATAACCATAAAATTAGTATTAACAAAGGATTGAGAGCATACGCGTATCGGTTCACGAATGGCTTTTCTTGATTCTCGTTTTCTAGTCGACGAAAGGGACGCGTCTCTGATCGTAAGTAGAATAGGATCGCTGTCCGACCACGCGCAGACTCGTTCTACTCGCAGCGCAATATCAAGCGCAACTCCTTAATCTCGCGGGAGATTCTGATTGTTCCGTCTGATTTACACAGAACGTTGGTGTGTACTCCTGACATGGAACTACAAATGACAAGGTCCGGAGTAACTGGTTCGAGTTCATCCGCACACTTGATGCCAGGATACCGAAGAAATTCCTGCGATTCGCGCAGAACTTTGGATGGCGAATTTCGCAGTTAAGGCGTTATTAATCTTCCTAACTACGGACGGGCATTATACATGTAACTCTGATCGCAATCGCTAACGGCAGCGCAATGCCATAAATTTCCTCGGCTAAGCCCGTTGCCACGGTTTTCGGTAATTAATGCGACGACGAATGGATAGATAAATCCGATTCGGACAGCTCCTACGGTCCCAAGAAAGCTTTGACGAACACGGACGCGTTCTCGCACGATGTACCATAAAAAAAGGACGTAACGCGGCGTTGGGTATGAATGCGGTCTTTTCGATGCGAATGCGCAAACTTCCTAGGCCGAATGTTTTATCGTATCTGCACGAGCACGCGAACATCCCGAGAAGAAAGTCTAACATCCAAGTTTTATTAGAGACCCGACGGGATCGATATCTGATCGCGAAATCGTATTTCCAATTTCGTATCGAGTCGGGCCGATGTCTCCGGTAATTGGACAATCAAGAGCCTTTGAATCTTTAACGAAATAAGAGAGCAAGGTTCGCGTTACGCGCGATATAATTACGAGTCTCATCGGGTTTGAACCCAGAACCGATACCTATATTGATTGACCAATTATTAATTCGTTGGTAACCTTTTAGCGGGGCTGATATCGAAATCGTAAATTTATTGCCGTTGGCAGCCGGGCAACAAAGGCAGACCGATTCGGCTTTGTCGGAGAATTAACGACATAAATTTATCGTTCACCGTGCGCGACTGGACTCACCTCGAGCCAGGCTGGCGCGTTACTGTTTTTCCGCCGAAATATCGCTATATCCGTGGGCGAGAGAGCGAGAGAGCGAGATCGCGGCTTGCAATTAATAGCCCGAAAAACCATCGGACCACTCGGAAATTGGATTATGGCGAGAAGCTCGGGAAGACTAAAATGTGACCACCGTTTATCCGGAGAGTGAACTTTAATTGCAACGCGACAAGCAAATCGGATACGGCAAACTGGTAAACGCAACACCGTCCGAGGCGTTAAATTTGTTAATTAACGGTGCCATCGGTGCATGGTTAAAAGTCAAATCATATTCGAACGGTGATTGCATTCTCTTTGATCGTCGCACCTTTACCGAAGAAACGATATCGACGACGCTGCATCGGATGATTGCGAAATGGAGTCTTTGCAGTGACTTTGCTTAACACTTTCACAGGTTTCATTTGCAAAATATAAAAACATCGTACCTTGGCGAGAGCACGATCCAAGGTGAAAGTTGGCGAGATCTCTGCTCCGTGAGGTTAGAGCACGTCAAAGATACGATTATGTATTACAGGTACAATTACCGTGGTATATCCAATGTTCAATTAAAAACCAAGTAGATCGTGGCGGCAAGTTTTGTGGACTCCCAGCGAAAGTCGCCGCGTTCGCGGGAAAGTTTCGATGCCTCAACGGAAGTCGTTCGACTGTAAATCTTGGCGAGGGCTGATCCTCAGGCTCGTTTATGTTTCTATACTGGTTGCCGCGG